ATTTTTCAAATTTCTTATATTTGATACCCCCTACTTCTGGCTTAGTTTGAAATATATTTAAATTTGAATTTATAATAAATTTACCACTGGCACAAGAAAATTCATCAAAAATAGTAAACTTTTTTGGATTGAAATAAAAAAACAATTCCATAACAATTGCACATCATCATTGGCTTTTTGATAAGAAAACCCCCATTTTTGTTCCATTTCAAGTTGTGCTTGTTGCCCAGGAATTCATGATTTGAAAATTTTATGCTCCTGATTAGTCCTGAGTTGTTAGTAAGATTCCTGATTGCTTTCAAAAAATCAATAACCACATGGCATTTTTGTTTTTGAACCAAATTTGAATGGCCAACCAAAAAAACAAGTGTTCCTCTGAGATATGCTTCATCCAAAATTCTGCTTAATGAATTTCAAACAAAAATTCTCTTATTTTTTCTGGTAGGAATTTGTGTTTTACAGAACTACTATGTTCTGGTTGGAATACGTATCTTTTCATGTTATGGATAAAGATGTCTGGGAAATTGTGGCTTATGAATTTTATATGTGAGTAGCCAGTGAACAATCCTGAGGTGTGGTCTTCATTCAATGCTTTCTCAAATAAACATCTTAGGGATGGTTTGATCTTTCTTTTCAGTGTTGTGCCAAGGTTTCCCCTTCTAGAGGACAAAATAGACACCATGCTTTGAGAGTTAGGATATTGATTATTTTTTAATATTCTATTTAAGCACACAATAAGCTCATATGGAACTGCAGAGGTTACTGCAGTACTCAATTCTCCCAATTTTTTTAGAACATGTGCATGGACTTGATTCTGGATGATAGGATGCAGATTTTTCAAATTGGTAATTGAATTTTCATGGATGCAAATATTTGCAATCTGATTGCAATGCTTTAGAAATGTAGGACTTGGAGTTATAACTGACCGCAGAATCCTTCCTGAAGAAAGGATCCTAATCATTTCAGAATGGCAATTTGAAGATATGTTTGTCTCCCTTCCCTTTTTTTGATTCCAATACAATGAAAATAATTTTGGCCTTGTTGCTTCAGAAATGTAATCAGTGATCCAAAGAAAAGTCCTCATGAATTCTTCATCTGAACTTTGCTCTTTCAATTTAGACCAAATCCTCCAAAAATTCTCCCAAAGATCCTTGATTCTTGACCAGCCTATTACTGAAAACCCTTTAAGAATCAAGTCATAGGTAAATGGAATGAGTATCCCATGTGCATCATGTAAACTTTGCAGAATTCTCTTGTTATGTGAATCCACAGTTATTTGTAGGAGCTGATATGCAAGGGCATGCGAACCGAGTGAAGCCTTCTGACTAATATGATCTGGAATCCAATCCAACAGCCTATCAGAATAATATCTGTGCGCAAGTTGCATTGGATTTGATAATAATGTGGGATCAGGATTTGTAAACAGGCTTTCCAATTGGAGATAAAAATGATGATATGGAATTTGGTTTGTTGGTTGATTTTCTGCCACAGAATGAAGAGGATGGCTCTCAGATTGTTTATGTACTGGTATTTCACGGAAATAATTTTGATCAGCAGCCAGAAGATCTGGAAAGATGCAATTATTATTGGGAATTTCTTGAAACATATCTTGACAACCAAATTCCCCCCCTTGTTCACTTGCACCAATTTTACAGGTTGGTGAACTCATCCAATCATTATAGGTTTCAATTGATTCTGGATAAACTGAATTGGAAAACTTATCTATCAAAATAGGAGCTGAAAAATCTTCTGGCCAGTTTGGAAGCTCAAAATCTTTAGAGAGAATGAGTTTCTGCATAAAATCTTCATAACTTTCATATTGATTATCTTTTATTTCTTGGGAATACTTCAATTTAATCTGGGTAGGAAACCAGTCAAAATCCATTTTTTTCTTTCCAGGTTCCCAAGATAATACAGCATCAGATACTTGTGAGTTTATCTGTTCAGGTTCCATAAAATGATAATTCATTTCCTTATAAGATTGTTGAAGTTTGGATTTCTCATGATCATATGTAATATCATTATCTCCAGAAGGATCTCTGTTCAATGATTTATCCATTTTTTCAACCTGAAAGTGTTGCTTTGGTAAAATATCCTGAATATTGGTGGCTGTTCATAATAAATTTCACAGTTAAAAAAATGTAAACAGCTTGATCAGAGATTGAAACAAGTACCTTTGATAACTTGAGGCATTCCAGTATATTCTAGGAAACTGAAGAGCCTGGCCAATTGATAAAATAAATGAATGTATCTGTTGGAAAACATTCTGGTGGGTTGTGTATCTTTGTTCAAGCAAGAAATTAGATCTTAGTAAACAAATTCAATAATTATTCTCACATGAGAGAGCATAATTATCAGTTTATCAATGGTATATGAGAAACATGTCACGGAGATGATTTTAATACCTGCTGAATAGCAAGTTTCAAGTTGGAGATCCTCAGTGACACCAGCCATAGACTACTGCAAATATGGTTAACCAATTAATGGAGCTTTGTTTTCTATCCAAACAATGCAGTTTATTTGGAAATTATTTAGTGATATTACTTTTGATACCATTAGAATTTATGGACACAGATAAGATAGAAATATATATCCATCTCATTAAATTGAAATTGAAATGGAGTTGAAATTCAATTTGCTCCAATGGTCACTTGTTGCACTCCAGTTTTTCTACTCCAGGGAAGTAGTACCATCTTAGGTAATTAACTATTTTTCAGTGAAGTTTTGACTGGATCTGCCACATTTCAACTGTTTCTACTTGAATTGGGTTTTCTGAAATTTCAGTACAATACTTTAATATTGAGTATGGTTAAGATCTTATATTTAGTGATGTAAACTAACAGCAATATTTGAGTTTCATCAGAGCATTTCATTTTATTTTGAGGTGCATAATGACAGGTTTACATAAGAAATCATAAGATTTGAAACATCAGCAACATTTTTGGGCCAACATAAACCATATGATTGACCAAATACAACTACTTAGTTATATTAATAATCAGATAGATGATTCAAGCATGGAACATTGTATATGTGTAATGTCTTATTCCCAAGCAAGAAATTATGTGAGAATCACAAGGTTCTGAAAGTTTTTATGATACAGATATTGATGATGAATACTAAATAGCAAGCGTATAAAAGAGTGAAATGTCTAAAAAAGAGAGAGCTCAAGTGAAATTTCAACAATTGTTTTACCTCACACAGCTGTGATGTGCAGTGTAAACAATATTGATCTAGCAAGTTCAGAAAATCCTTGTAAGGGGGTTCATACTCCATCAAAACCTTTGCTAATTTATAATCATAAGGTTTCTTTTCTGCCAATTCATAATGTTCATCAACTGTCTTTGGGGGATTTCACTTCCAAAGGGGAGCTTCCCATAAAACTTTGGCATTTTCTAGGATAACTTGTCATAGTCTGAATTGAACAAAATTTGACTTCTGATTTCAAGTGCACTGCCCTCATGCTTCTCAAAAGAAACTTTTGTGAACCCCTAAAACCATTGGCCCATGAGGGGCTGGATCACAAAATAAAATGATTACAATATCGCAGTTCACAATATGTAGTCAGTTCCGATGGCTGATCACCTTGTTAAAAGTTGCTTCAGGACCGTCTGCAGAAGGTCCTCTTGATGTCACCAAAATTTGGGAGTCAGAACTCCAATTTCTGGGATTTGTTTAACTAAGACCCCAAATTTAATTGATCAGCGGCCTTATTTTATGCAAGAGTTCTAAAACCACCCTCATGTGTGAACAGGGATATGAACCCCCCCCCATCTGTTTTTAGTGAAGTTTTGACCCCCCCCCCTTTTTTTTGGTCATGTGCTTATCTGTTCAGACACCTCATGTGTGCAACATGATCATAATAGAGTATGCAACATGATCAAGTTGAGATGCATCTTTGAACAAGGATAAAAAAAAGCTTACATGTCAATTGGGAGCTGATTATAAAAAGTTGATCAACAAGTTGGTATGCATGCTCTGCTTGTTAGAAATAGAAGTTAAACCTTGCAATAAGCTAAGCCTATGGGAAACGTCTAAATTTTTCTCCTCCTCAACCACCCCACAGGGACGTTGGGGAACAGCGGGGACGCTGTCCCCCCTTCGCATAAGGAGGGACTCAGGCAGCAATTATAAACAGTTTTTGGATTTGTTTTGTAATTTTTTTTTATTTTTTTTTTTTGAAAGTCATTTTTTTATTTTTTTTAAGAGGAAGTGAAATTCAAAAAGAAAACAAAAAAAGGCCAAACAAGATGCAATTATACATAAACGCAAACAGCTACTTTATTGCTTATCTGCATTGAGAACATGTATCAAGGTCTAGGTTGGAGTACTATCTGTATTTTGTATGTTGTACAGCAGGATACAGCCCATAAGGGGTGTAGTGAATCCCATAAGGACTGTAATGATGTCAGCTTGCTACTATGGCAGAGACAGCCTGTCATAAGCAAATAAAATTATAAATTACATAAAAAATCTAAGTATAAAGTAAAAATATTACATAAGTAAAAGAAACACTATTACTTATGTAAATACTAAAAAAATACATAAAATAAATAAATAACTTAGAATTTACAAATAAATCTTGGAATACTATTGCAGATTCTAAATCTACGTACAATTTAACCCAGAGTACCTCAGCCAAAGGTACCCCCAATTCTCACTCCTTCACCCTTTTATACAACCTTGAATAATTAACAGGTACCCTTAGAGCATCCACCCGCGTCTCTGTAAACCCGCTCGCTAAGCCCAATTTAACCAACTTTAATCCGATTTTCCACCCCCGCGCCCTCTTTAGGGCTACTTAACAAATTAATCTTTAAGATTCTCGCTAAGGGTTCGTAAAGTTACGAACCCCTACAGAGCCTCATTAGCCAACGCCAATCAAGGCAAAATTAAATTTTTCTAAGTCCTTGGCACACTACACCACATATCCGTCCCCTGTACACAGCACATCACATCAATTCACTGGTCCACAAAACATCTCGATCAAAGAATCTTTGATGGCCGACGGCGAAATTCAAATCGTTCCGACGGGAAAAGAGACTACAAAGAAGAAACGAGCACCCAACTGGCTTCCAATTGAGGAAGAACAGCTTGCAATCTCATGGGTTCACGTTATTGAGCAGCCGGAGTTTGCCAACAACCAGACCAGAACGATGTTCTACAGAAAAATCGAGGAGAATTTCAATATGTATAGTAAGATTCACTATCGGAACCATGAACAGATCAAGATTAGGTATGCCAGTTTGTATTTGCTCAAACAAATCCTGTTACTGATGTGTTTTACTTTCTTGTAGGTGGACATCTTTGAATACCGCTACCCTCAAGTTTACTGCGATTTACAACGCAATCGAGTGGAACCCTCCAAGTGGTTCCTCACCTGATGACTGGATGTCAACTGCGATGACAGTCTATGCCAATCAGACAAAAGGGACAGCTTTTTCTTCTGTTTCAGCCTGGCAAAAAGTTTGTTACTGTCCAAAATGGCGAGGCGATCGACCGGATCTGACTGTCCCAATCCCCTTGTCCGATAACATCGAAATCGAATCGGGAAACATCACCAACATTGGAGCAGCCACCCCCTCTGGCCCCTGTACCCCCAGCTCACGCAATGCCTCATCGATCTCGCGTCCGACTGGGCAAAAGGCGGCCAAGAGGCGTCGGATCGAAGGCTACAAAGACGACGAGATGCTCTCGGCTGCAGATAACTTTGCTGAAATCTCGAAGGAACAACTGGCTGTTCTTAGCGAGGGAAACACGATTGAGATTGAGAGGAACAAGATCTCGAATGAAATGTTGAAGATTGAGGAGAAGAAATTGGCGCTCAAGGAAAAAGATTCGAAGATTCTGGAGGCTCACAAACAGAGTGAGACCCAGATGATCGATTACAAGCTTCTCCGAGAATTGACGGATGGGAAGGAAGACACGGAGGCCGAACAGGTTCTCCAGATGATGAAAAAAAATTATTCACAAGTGGCTCTCCACATCTTAAGATTGATGTTAGATGTTACCATTTGCTCTGTCTATCTCATACACCATTCTTACTTATCCACACAACCTTGGCCTCACTTTGAAATCACATTGCTCACTTTATGACCGGTCAATAGGTATCCCAAATATTAGTGGGATTGCTTCATTTCATTGCATTTTGATTCATTTTAGAGGAGACACAAATTACAATCTGAGGCTGTTAAGCAGCCTCATCGCCTCGGAGCAGCCAGTTGTAAATCTTAAGGTCTTCTTTTAACTGGGCATGCATGAAGGCATTATGTAGATTCTGGTTTAACTGGATGTAGTTTGCAAAAGTATGTGCTAAGTTTGGATCGGTGTGGTTAGGGACGATCTGAGCTGAACCAGGGAAGTCCATTAAGAAGTGATCATTGGGAGAGCGATCCTCCACGATCATGTTATGTAGGATTATACAACATGTCATGATCCGCATGACATCTTCCTTCTCCCATATACGACAACCAACAGTGAGTATGTGCCATTGTGCTTGAAGTACGCCAAAAGTGCGCTCGATGTCCTTCCGAGCCGATTCTTGAAGCTTCGCGAAGTGTGTTGAGGCACCGCCCTGAGGATCCCTTATCGAACAGACCAGAGTCGACCATGGAGGATAAATGCTATCACACAGATAGTAGCCGGTTGTGTAGAGGTGCCCGTTGATGACTGCGTCCTCGGCACCGGATAGTAAACGATCAAATAAGTGACTTTGATGGAGGATGTTGATATCGTTCAACGCGCCAGGGCTCCCAAAAAACACATGCCAGATTCGAATATTCTTGCTTGCAACGGCTTCTAAGATGATCGTGGGCTTTTTCTCTTTGCCTTTGTATTGGCCGGCCCATGCTGATGGGCAGTTCTTCCATGCCCAGTGCATACCATCAATGCTGCCGATACAACCTGGGAATCCACGCTCCTCGTTTTCCTTCAGAATCGCGTTGAGCTCCTCGTGATTAGGTGGTCGGAGGTAATCTGACCCATAGAGCTCAATAACATGAGTCACAGAAAGCTTCAGCGTTCGAAGAGCGGTTGTTTCGCCAAGTCGAACATACTCGTCAGTTGAATCAGCACTTGTCCCATATGCAAGCTGGCGAAGTGCGGCGGTTATCTTTTGTTGGGGCGATAGACCAATTGTTCCACAGCAATCCTGTAATCCAAATTGTCAGAACCACTGGAGAAAAAAATAATAGACAAAGTATAGCTTACACTCTTGAGAATCCAAAAGCGATCATGTTGCTGTAGATCGTGACAGAGTCGATCAAATAATCCTTGGCTCATTCGGAACCGCCGCTCAAACATGCGGTTGTTGTATACTGGAGTCTCGGAAAAGTAATCGGCCATGAGTCTCTTGTGACCTTCGATACGATCCCGGTGGATGACTGTTCTCGGCCCTTCCGGTGCTCTTCTTTCAGGGGGCCTTGAGACCAAGTTGAGGAGGCGACGAAAAATCTCCTCTTCCATGGAGTCGATGAGGTAGTTGTCCAGGCGATTACACATTCTAGGTGATCCACGACAGGTGAGTTCCTGAGATACGGATTCCAAGTTACAGAGGCACACGGGGGTACAGGCAAGAGCTGGCAACCCTGATTATCTCCCGCGGCTTTGCCTAACCAGCCGGTACCGACCAACAGGGGGGGGGGTTCACTCTGTAGATTAGTAACAGAGCCTCGCGGGGCTCGTTGCTTAGCTAGAGATTTACCTCAACGGGGGTGGATGCTCTTAAGATCACGGGCCCTGGGTACTTATGCATTATACATAACCAAAATTCATATACTTCAAATCTTGTCACGGATTTGGAGTGTTGTGTAAAGTTTAGAAGATAGTGTAGTATGGTGTGTACTGTCTCCAAGCCCGCACGCTGCGTAGTCATGCTGTGCACTGTTGACAGGCGCGCCTGACTACCATTGAGCCCAATTCTCAAGCCCCCGTGCGTGCCAAGTATCCATGCTTGCCTTGGATACATGCATAACCCCCGCCTGGGTTACCAGTATCGAAGAAATGGGCTACAAAACACCCCAGAATCCTCATACATGTAAAACAAAGCCCCCAGACGTGTAATAAAAATATAAACAAACTAGAAATATGCCTGAAAATAATACAGTACCTAGAATATTCTGTATTCCAAGTGGTAACACGTGTAGCAAGCTCAGAAACCACCTCTTGGATATTCTGTGGCCCATTCCAAGGAAATAGCTCCACGTAACAGACTAGCCCCTACCCACAGGCTCCTAAGGGATATTCTTGGTTCAAATAAATTCGTGCATGACTCCTTGGAGCTTCTAGAATATTATCCCCAAGGTTTCAGCCCTTGTTGTGTCACCATGTGGGCTAAAATGGGACCAAAAGCTCTCCCAAGACCTACTAAGCTCCCCTGAGCAACCCCTGAGGCCTTCCACAGGTATTTAAAGGGCCTTCTGACCGCCCAAATAATGATCCCCCAGCTTTACAATACCATATAGAAAATTACTTACCATTTACAAGTCCCCTACACTTGTAATTAGCCTAGTTATTACTGTTATTTCTGCCATCAAGCCTCAAGATTCCTCAAGAAACTCCCCAGTGAAACGGTGAAACCCCAGCACCCAAAACCAACCATTTTGAGCGCTTCCAACTGTCCAGTTTCTTTCCTGAAGATCCTCAAGACCCCACAGGATTATTACTAGTGAGTAATAACCCTTTCTTTGAGATTTTCCCCATTATTTCTTACTGGAATATAAACCACCCCTGTTTACAGGCCCCAGTGTACCAGGTGCCTAAATCCTCTGCTTTTAGCACGATGCCTTTGAGGGATCTAACCACCCCTGATTTATCAGGCCCCTCAGGTTTAATTTATATTAATTTTACTAATATAAATTAGCCACTTTTTCTCTTAAAAATACCTATAAATGCCTTTCTTTTATTGGAATTTATTCCTTCAAAGTTAAAACCAAAATTCCTTAAGCTTTTTGCTTGATTTTGCACCATGTGTACCTAGAAGATTTTGCATCTTGGCATCACGTAGGCTGACAAATGATATTGCATAAGCGAATTTTGATTTTTTTTTCCCTTTTCAAACAACCTCCTAGAGGTTGTTTGAAAACTTTTGAGATTGTTTTTTGGTTAACAAAATAATAATAAAAACATTATGAAAGTAATTCAAACAAAAACCAAAAAATTATCAAAAAGAAAAAAAGGCCGTTTATAATTGCCGCCTCAGTCAAGTTAGCCAAACAGAGTCTGATAATCTGAATGCTCACAACACATTGTGTCAAAATCGCTGCGGTAAATCCAAGTTGGAGAACTCCTCTCTCCGACCTTTTTACGCACAAGCAAACGTTGTCTGTCACATTTTATTGACCCTTTTTTCCCACACGTTTCGGCATCCGGAGTTAACCCTATGTATGATGTGTGTGTGTGTATCATTACCAACTGCTGAAACGCTTGACTTCCTGGGACCTGTTAAGGATCCAGTTTATCGACGAATATAAGTGAGTTGTTGATAAAGTTATGTAGGCAAACCGAGTTCCAGCCAGCCGGTCTTGATGACGTCCATAACTAACAACCAAGCACTGGTGATTTCCTTCCTCCGGGTTGAGCCCGTGGTGCCATCCATGCTGAAACACTCAATTATGACGTAGTTCCTGGCACTTGTTAAGGATCCTGGTTTACATTTACTGAGGCATATAGGAGGGGTTGTTGGTTGTCAAGTGAGCATATCAAGACCAGCAGGGTGTTTGTTTTCGGACTGTCAGGGCTTCTGTATCTTGAGAGCCTTGTTTGGAGTTCAAATGTCACAGTCAGTTTCATTCATTGGCGAACATCCCATGACCACTCTCAGACGAGATATGGTTATCCCCTGCGCCGCAGCCAGTCCCACGCTGAAAAAAAAAAAAAAAGTAGAAACCGAGGAAATCGAAAGCCTCACAGCAAAAAACCAAAACACCAACACCAACCAACACACAAACCAACAAACCAACCAACACACAAACCATCCAACCAACCTCAAAACTTCAAAAGTAAAGAACAGAACAAACCAAAACAAACAAGAACCGATCAGAAAGACTGAAAAACCATTCCAAAAGAACATTCACATCATCATGGCTGAATCTGCTACCAGTCCCACCTTCCCTTCATCTCAACTACCGCCCGTAGCCGCCCTAGCCTCATCGCAAGCCGTCCGAAGTGCACTAGCCGACTATACCCAAGCCTCCTCGATCCCATCCTCATCAGTCTCATCACCACAACTCGATCACAGCTCATCATCCGAGAAGGAGGATCAAGAGGAGAAGGACGACCAATCATCCTTAGAGGATGGCGAAATCCCTACCGAACCAGCTGGCACTTCCTCCTCCGCCTCTAACAATCCGATCACCATCTTCAGCTCCCAAACCGAATTCAACGTCAAACATCCGCTCTACTCTACCTGGACCCTCTGGTTCGATAACGCTACTAAGAACGATAAGGCTAAGAATTGGGACGACCTTATCCAACAGGTCATGCAGGTCGAGAGCGTCGAAGAATTTTGGGGGTCAGCATATCCCTCTTTTCTGGCTTTTGGTTCAAGAAAGACACACAAAACTGACTAAAAAATTGGATTATCTACAGACTATATCACAACATCGTTCCACCTTCATTAATTCACGTCGGATCGAACTATTACTTATTCAAAGAAGGAATCAAGCGTGAGTTGTTTGGAATCAATCTCTCCCAGAAAGTTCCTCCATTACTCATCTCAGCTTGCTCTTTTGTATACATCGAACCTCATCTGAGAATAGCCGCATGGGAAGATCCGGCCAATGCCAAGGGTGGGAGCTGGAGCATTCAACTGTCGCGCGATCGGAGTCGTGACATGATCGACAAATGGTGGCTGTACACCGTAAGTAATTCATAGAGAAAAACGTTGAACGAATCCATCCACAGATCCAGCACGAAACTGATGGGAAGAAATATGTATATATGAATAAATAGATGTTAGCGGCGATTGGAGAGACGTTTGAGACCCCATACACAGCGAACGGGAAGCCGCCGGCGACGATGTCCTTCACCGACGAAGTCACGGGCGTCGTCATCTCGGCCCGCAAGATGTTCTTCCGGATCTCGATCTGGACGCGCTCGGCCGACTCGAAAGAACTGGCCCAGAACATCGGCCGTCACTTCAAATACGGCGTCCTCTCGATCCCCGAAACCTTCAGATTCGCTCCCTCCGATGGCAAATCGATTCAGACCGATTGCGAATTCAGAAGCCATACTGATTCCCAACTCAAGAAAAAGAAACCTACTTTCACTGGTTCGTCGTTTTTTCTGAGGTCACTATTTAACTTATATATTGCTAATACCCACTCTCCACATCTTTCTCTTCATTCAGTTTAAGCTTCCTTATCCTCCTTCTCCTCCCCTCCACATTTGGATTCCTCATTTCTAATTCCCATCGCCCTCTCAGCTGTCCACCCCATAATCGTATCCCCCATTCTTCTCCTCTAACTCTTTCTCCCCTCCTCAAAATTTCATTCTTCATATTTAGAATCAACAAATCAATCACAAAAAAGAAAAAAAAAAGTCAAAATCATATCACAAAATATCCAATCTTATTTGGAGTATTTTTGGAGCCCTTTCTTTATCCTCACTACTACCATCAAGATACTCCACTTTTTCTTTTCCTCTATCCATCTCTCTCCATCTCTCTCTTTTTTTTATGTCCCCTTTCTCTCACTGGTTTTCTTACTTCTTTTCCTTGAATCATTTGTCATTATCGTTTTGTTCTTTGTTTTCTTTTCTCCTTTTTTTTGGTTCTTGAAGTCAATATAAAAAAAAAACCTGCTCTGTTGTGGAGCCGACCCAGTGCAGAATAGAATTATACCTTCCGCTTTTGTTTATTGCTTTCTTTCAGTGTTGGTCTGTTGGAGTTTCCTCTTATTTGATGGTATGTTTTGATCGATTTACATATCTCGTTTCCTTCCTACGTTTACTGATCTCGATCAGTTCCGTCGTCTCCACACTCACATATATATATATATATATATAAACATATCCACTCATCATTCACTAACTCTTCCACCCCTCTATCGTCTCAGATAATATATACCTCCCAACTCCCCCCTAAAAAAATTATTCAAAACAAGAAGAAACATCGTAGCCTTTGTTATGTGGCTGTCTTACATCGGAGACACGTCGAGAAAAAAAATGATCTCTAGCCTCATTCCCAATCCACCACGGTCTTATCAAGAAAAATAAATCAAGCCAATCACGGAAATCGAAATCGAAAAAAAAAAGAAAACCGTTTCACATTCTTCTTTCCTTCCTTACTTGGGTTCCTGAGATGTTCCTCTTTGTCTCTTCCTTTTCGAACCCATCTCTCCATTTACATCTCCACTTTATCCATACACACACAGATATGAATATCGATTTATTCTCCTTTGATCCCAATCAATCTATCACATCCATCTACATATACACCCTTAATTTACCCCCCCCGCCCACTCCCCACTCTGTTATCCTCTGTTACTTGATCTTTTCCTTTTTGAGTGGTCTCCTTCATATATCTGATCTTTTGTTTTTCCTCTCTTTCTCTTCAAGAAATTATCAAGAAAAAATAAATAAATAAACGAAAACAAAGAAATAGAAATAGACAAGTGAGAATTAAGTTTAATTAGATGAGTGGAGGACTTCCCGTCGGGATTTAGACGCCAGTCTAAATTCTAAATTCTAAAATTCCTCGTCTAATTCCGAATTTCATCACCAAAAATTGGAAAATAGAAATAGGAAATAGGAAATAGCCGGGTTTCTAAACTGACGGGAAGTCCTCCAGTCTATTGATGTAAATAGTTCTAGGTGTGGAAAGAAAGAATATATACAAAGCTGTTTGAGCCACCTACCTACAAGAGTTGGGTGGTTGGGTAGGGAGTGATCTGGGAGAGATCCACTGCTGAGATATACAAATACCCACCATCCCCGAGGCATCCAACCTTTTACAAGGCCTGATCTATGCACGAGTTCTTTGAGTTGGAATGGCAGAAGAGACCGCTGGTAACTCAATGATCAATAATGTAAGCAGTAATTACATAATGCTTGATGACCCGTTTTCTTCTTTTTTGTTATTTCCGATCGTTGTTATCACCACCAACAAACCGATTGACTCCTTCCTCAATTAAGGACCAATTCCCTCCCTTCCAGTTGATAATTGAATAACCCTTATAAGGTATGTAGAGAACTATGATACTTCTTCATCAATTGGAATGAGATTCACTTCTGACTTTCAAGCCGCCATCGGATGCTTTATTTTTCTTCATTCAATTTCAACGCAGCCCAGCCGACCGGCCGAATCGATCGAAGCGAAGACTCTTTCTTGTCTTCGGCGAGCTAATTAGTGGCTCGCAGGGCCCACGAAAAACGAAAGCATACACAAAAACAGAAGGGCCAAACCGGGAATTGAACCCGGGACCTCGCCCAATTAAGCCGATGAAGGCGGATGGAACCCGAAGGGCGAATCATACTACTAGACCATTTGGCCGGAGGATGGAAGAATGACGTAATTATGCCTACTTGAATGCACAGCCCCTTGACAAAAATAATGGAACACTTACACATAATTTCAGCTGGCATATTAGCCCGGTTCACGTAGGGCGTTTTTATGACATGCGTGAAAAGTCGCACTGCTCGTCGCTTAAACTGTTTCGCTTAAATTGTGCGTGAGACCCCGCCAAAATTTTAACGAGATGTTGTTAAGCGTTGCTCGTCCCACAAATTTTATTTGGGAACGAGCAGCTACGTGAACCGGGCTATTGGGTTTAGTTTTTTCTGTCAAGGGGATGTACTAGTAAGCACAGTCTCTTTGGGTTCTCCTCAACAGCTGAAGAAAGAAACAGCACAAATAATTGGATAGTTTGGTTGGGCGTTATGAGCCGTGCTCAGTTGGAATGATGAGCCCTTGCCCACACATATGAGCAGAGCACTCCGAAACTAATCTGATCCTCTTTCTTTTGGAGTGCCCTGGTAGTGAGCCCTTTCCTGTATCCTCAGAATTTCTCACATTCTTCGGCTACTCCACAACCTCACATCAGTCATAGATTATCTTGAACCTCTGGTTGAGAGTGCAAGTTGTTTGAAAGGAAGGCTTTGCTCTTCACAGCTGGACCCAGGGGATTCTCAAAACAAACAATGAGGTGGAATTTGTCATTGGGAACTTCGAGTCATCGTCCACGCGATTTCAGGATAGTCACTTGTGCGTGAATTTTTCAATGCGGAATCTCGGTATAATCATCTCCATTTTTTTGTTTTAAATGATAGAATAGTAGCCCAAACTTCTTGTCAGGCAGGATTGTCCTATCTCCAATCGGTTTGACCACGAGGCCAGATGACACAGGAACACCTCAATTCTCATGTCACGCATAATTATGAGAGAGATCATCATAATTAAGATTCATTTGTTATCGCAAACGATAAAGGCAAGGGAGAATTGATCCCATTGATTATTTGTTATTATATCTATCCATCCATTACATTAAGACTTTTTCCCTGAGGCCCTCTAAAAACCGAGTATTGAAACTCAAGCTGCTTGATTCGACTCTGATCCAACTCTGCAGTGAACCAAGTATCCACCATGATCCGGCGTTCAATCCTTGACGTCCAGCAGTTTCACGACCCAGTAACTGGCTGCAGCCGCTCCGCCACCCACGACAATGGTGGACAAACTTCCTTTCAGGTATCCCATAAAACCGATCCTGGCACCGGTGAAGTAAGCCTGTGTGTGGGAAAGAGAGAAATAAAAAAAGGGGCCCGTTTATCAACATCATTTCCATCTTGTAGTTCGATTATTATTCTTTGGATGGATATTTACCTTCAGTGATCCAAAAACCAACAGAGTTAATATCATCACACCAATGCTCCAGAATAAGGCTGCATTTGCTTTATCGATGAAGAAGTAAGGTGCCTGTTGACAGAATCAATTTGGATAGAGTGAGCCATTGAAATCTCCAAGAAAAAGAATAAAGAATCATGAAATGAGATTCACCATTGGAATAAGACCGCCGATGAAATAGGAAAAGCCGATGGTGAATGCAGAGAGATACATCTGAAATGTGGAAACTTCTTCTACGCCTTCGCCAAACTTGAGCAGAAATTCGGTCATACCGAGACCTAAAGATTCGGATTCGAATCCGGTGAGTTGCAAAGCTTCCTCGTCGGAAGATTTCTCTTGAGAGACCGAGTCATAATCGGGTGTCTTTCTACTAGAAAGGAGAGTCGAGAGCAAACAGACGAGTGCGCTCTTCTTGAAGCCAGATGATTTTTTGGCCCGATCCTTGGAGGTAGTTCTGAGGTATTCAAATTTCAACAAGTCATTGCTGACCATGCCGCAGAGACCATGACTGATCCCAAAGGGTTGCAGAATTTCTTGGACCTGTCGGTCCATCGAGCTCGAGCAAGAGTGTGCCACTCGCTTCCGAATCACTCTTTGTCGATATCTGAATTGATCTCGGTCCGCTTCGGATGCAAGATATCCTCCAACTCCCATCGAAATGGCCCCGGAAATCAGCTGTAGTAATCAGACGATAAATCAGTCAGTATATCCTGAGGTTTGAGTAAATCGGGACGAGACATGAAAGAAGGATATCTATGCGTACCTCTGCCATTCCGGCGACAACGACAAGCCTTGAGGAACCCAAGGATGATAGTCCCGCAGTGAGGCCGAAGGGGACTGTCAAACCATCACTCAGTCCGATAATTCTGCAATGAAACATAAAATTTCCGAGTTCAGGAAAGCAAATTGTCAGTTTTTCGGGAGGTAAAGAAAGGAATAAATACCAAAGACTTACATGTTTCGAACCACGTCAATATCGATCATTGTTCTTTCCTCGTCGGAGCCCGGAGCTCGACAACAGAGTCGTTCATTGCATGCGTGTGGGTCACAGTCTTGGACTTCTATGGTCGGGATTGGTTCCTTCAAGACACTCATCTTACGATATGTATTTCTCTTTAATCTGTGATTGAGCGAGTCGTTTAAAAATTAAATAGAAGGCTGAGGAAATTTACTTTAAATAATAAAACACTTATTTAAGGATATAGATAATTAGATTTGATGAACTTGTTATTAAAAGATACGAATTGAAAAAATATTTTCAGACTAGCTGTGATGAAACTTGAAAGGGAGGGGGGGGGGGGAGGAAAACAAGACCGATAGGGAACGGGAGGATTGAGGCAGTAGAAGAAGAGATTATAAACGACCGATACGCATGCCAACAGATACATGGCGGACGGGATGAAGGAGATGACGAGTGAGGCTAGGAAGCCAAGAACGTTGAGATATCCAAGGCCAAGTGAGATAAACTGGACGTAACTTGTAACCAGTGTGAAGAGAGCAGAGCAACTCGCCACCTTGGACACCGTCCGATGGCCGCTCCGGTCCTGGCGGCAAACACCGCTCCTGGTCCTCATGGCAATGAGGGCCAGTGGCAGGAGCCCAGCTCATCGCAAGACCGCCGAGTTGTCACAGGCTGACGAAAAAGTACCCGCTGCCTTTTTCTCCGGACAGCGTCCCCTGTCTTCTCTTAGATGGGATAGCAGCGGTGTTCAGCACAATCCGCTGGCCGCTCCGGAGTCAAGACCGTGTCTCGTCGGTCTCGTCGGGAACGCCTCGGCAGGTCGTGCGAGGCCGCAAGGACCGGAGCGGCCGACTGTGAGGGTGTCCAAGCATAAATCGCCAAGCCCAATGCAAAAAAAGTGCTCTCTTACATCTCAGCAAAGTTTTCCTTTAATGTCCACCCGAGGCCGATCCATGGCTCTTAGTCCAAATTCAATCGTAGTGAGATAACGTTTCATGATACAATTGTTTTTGTCCCTTGAATGTAAGTCATCAAACAACCTGAGCTTGGACACAGGGCGACACCTAAATGTGCATCCTCAGCGGATGAAACAGATCCAGTTCCCCAATCCATCAATTGGATTTTTTTCTTTCTTTTAATGACAAAGTCCCTGCAAACATCAAATACATCAGGAAAGATGTAAAGGGTGACTGACATGTGGTGTGACCTTCTCTTTCCAATTTGTCCAGCTTGAATTGCAATTTTTTCAATTTTTCTGCTTTTTTTGTCATATTCTTTTTGTTTTTCTTGATCAAACAGTAATCAGAAGTAAACAAACAAACAAACAAATATATAAATAAATAAATAGATCGATATTTAAATACATATATGTATATGTATAAATCCCGCATACACATACATATATGTGTTACATGAAAAAGAAAGACATGAAAAAAGGGCATGAGAGGGTTGGCAAGAGCCAATAGCCAAAGTTTTTTTTTACCAACAAAGAAAAAGAGGAAAAGAGAGGAAAAAAGGAGTAGGTACGAGTTACACGAAAAAAAATCAAGAAGGAGGGGGAGGGGGAAGATGATGAGAAGATTTGAATTTGACGAGTTCAGGGTCGGCGGGGTCCAAGATCTCTAACGGGTCAGACGAGCCAACAGGCAAGGGTAACCGACAATCCGCCCATTTCTTGTGGTCCACCGTCCTCACATCGGATAGTGAAGCGATCTGCAAGAAGTACCTGATGGTCCTTTCACTCTCATCAGTTTCATCATCTCCTTTCTCTGAGTTTCCTGCAAGAAAAAAACCTATTCTCTTTGGTTGATTGATTAGTTCTTACTCACCTGGCTAGGAATACTAGTTGTCGATCGTGCTTGTTGACCCGAGCATTCTTGAATGCCGAGAGTTTAACTCCTGATCGAGGATTCAAAGCTTTTTAAACAAAAAACGGACATATGTTAACCGATCATCTGCAGCTCTTGGACGACGAACTCTTTATTGGGAGAGGAGAGTCGAGGAAGGAGAAGGGAGCGGAGCACGTACCAAAGTTCCGACTGAGATCGTCCAAATGGACCGTATTTGTTTCGTTGTAAGCCGGGATCTTCCTCCAAATGAGTTCGAGAGCTTTAACCTGATTGGGAAATCGGAGAGACGATTCAGACTTAGCGAGAGTTTTTGAAAGAGCGAGTGAACAGAAAGAGGATGGGACAAAAAATTACCTCGTGCCTAGATATCTTTCCATGCCTCATTGAAGTCACTTCGAACATCGTCCCTCGATCCAAAACTGAAGATAGAGATAGATCGATCAATCGAGGATCGGGATTTGGAGAGCCGACAGATCAGATGAAGGGAGGCAGAGAAGAAGACGGATCAATGATGTGCACAAACAATTGGGGATATAGACGTGAGCACCCACCGAATTGGATTTGATATTTATCACTGTAATTTCCCCCAACCATGCCTAACTCGACCAGTTTACTCTCCAACCATCTCCAACTAGTGGCTGACCAAATGCAGATCTGATCAAGAAAACATCAATGATTGAGGAAAGATTGTCAGCAAGGTTGATGATAGTCTTTGCAGACCTCGAGAGACGCTTACATCATAATAAGGCCATAGAGCGGTCAGAAACTCGTGGAGGTCTGTTCATATCACATCAAGCAGAATTAAAACAGCGATAAAAGAGAGTTTTGAGCACATTTTGGAGTATCATATTCATCCCACTCTGCCCCCGGAGTTATGCAACAAAGGGACGCAAAAGTGAAACAGAGTCCTTACAAGGCCTTGCCATATCTGAAGTTAAAATTAACAAACGGCCATGAAGCAGGAGGGGAGAAAAAGGGCAGGTGAGTGGCGAGAACATAAAACGGATGATACATCATGGAACAGCGTTATTCACTGACCCAAGGCGTGTACTGAATAATCGCTATAAGCTTTGGAGTCCATCAAGGTATACTGTCTCGATAATGTTAATTAGACTGACAATTCCTTTAATCTTTGGTTGATTCTATATATCGGAGTGTCCAGACACTCACATCTAAATCAAGTACCAGCAACTTCTTCCCCGGTCGTGGTGGGTTCTAAATTCGAAAAAGAGAAAGGAGAGATTGGGTTAGACTTTTGAATTCCTCAATAATCATCCGATTGGAAATCGACACTTGATTAGAGATCAGTTGAGAAGCAGAGACGCGCGTACCATAATATTCAATTCCCTTAATAATTGAAAACAATCAAGATCGACAGATTATCAGTGAGGAAAATGGAGTGAGTTCCGAGGGCCAGGAAAAGGGAAGGAAATGTTTCTTTCTGAGGGTGTTGATGCCCTTCATTTTCAACTTCTTTTCTTTCCCTTCCTCTTTCAAGAACCAGGAGAAGAAAAAAAAACGAGGGAGAGAGAGGTAGACAAACAAGTGACTAGAAAGTTCGTCCAATTTCTCTCGGACTCGAGTCATATATAGCACACAGTCCTGGGACTGACGAGCCTTGCGAATCGAATGAGAGTCTGATTGATCGAGCTATTACACAAATATAGATTAATAAAGATTCAGTCTTTCCGTAGATGATTTTTGTAGAAAAATGATTCAATAAATGAAAGAGGCCAGACTGACTGTTGATGATGAGGAAGTTTGGGGTGGAGCGGTAGAGAGACCTTCGTCCTCAGGAGTCCCGAGTAGCTTGAAATGTACGCCTTTCTGGAAGAATCAAATCGAACACAATGATGTCACTTTTAGTATATATATATATACATGTACAAAATAAAATCCAGATAAAGACTGACTTTGATTTTGAATTGGAGGGTAGACAGGAGGACGTCATCGGCGGGGATCTGTCCTAGTACGAGGCCGAGGATCTTCTGTCGTTCAGGGGGGACAGCGGTGACTGAATATATGACCACCTTGAGGTCCTTGATCGTCACCATTCCATCGAGGGCGACGTTGAACTGTGTACGCAGGAACCTATCCTCTTGATCAGCCTTTCTCTCCTCTCTTTCAGCTAGCTCGTCTCAAGTTATAAATGTGTTGATTCACCCACGGTTGAATCTCTCCATGAAAACGTGAGTTCCAAGGCTTCGGATGGCGAGTCTTCTCCGTCCGAGACTTCTCTACTGTTACACTCCTGGTTCTTCCCATTTTCCATTGTTCGGTTGTTAGCCTGAGTCTCTGATGGTGATGATGATGATGACGATGACGATGATGATGGTACGTTGTTTGTAGATGGTCCTTGAGGTTGGGTATCCAGTTTGGGTCGTTTGCTTGGTTCAGTTTGTTCTTCGTGGATTGGTAGATGGTGTTCGACTGTGATCGATGGCTTGTTTCCCTGGTTTGTTGTCATCCCGAACTGGTCTTTCCTTTCGCTGTCAACTTGTCAATAGTAGTCGTGGTGGTCGTTTTCGCAGAGGTCGATAAAGGAATATGAGATGTGCTTGGCTTGTATGCGTCTCGGGTTGTTCGGGCCCTCGACCGGCGAGCTCCCCGACCGCACTCGAAGGGGTACCGATCGAAAAACAAGTCAAAACGGGGACTCGAGCTAAAAACGCAGGATGTCATCTTGCTCTTCTGGACATCATCACCTTGCATTAGCACAAACCTCTCCGTTTCAAAACATTGGCCCTGAAGAGGAATCATCGCAGTCACACTGCATATAATCCAGAGGGGCCGGTTTATCCCTTGGAACGTACGAAAGTTCAAATGTTGTAGACCGTCCTATTGCCTCAATTCTGATTTGATTGTCTCAAGAATGTTGCTGCATAGAGCTGTAACTCTTTGGTGCCAGTAGAGGTTTCCGAAGCGGGCTTTGCGACACGCTAAATGAACAAGACTTGCTCTTTTTTACTAAAGGCCCAACAGACCGATACCTCTTGAGTTCCAACAACAGTTGCTGGCGTTGTGCAAGGCTGCAGCTTCTTGCAATCTCGGACAGGATGGTGTCCCTATTAAAGAAACTGTTTTTCTGTGTTGTTTTGAACGAATTAATAGGCGCCGCCCGACTTGCAATATCAAGTGTGACTGAAGAGGCCCATGCAGCACAGGATTCAGTGAGGAAGTATCTCAAAATTAACCATTACGCTATTTCTAAATCCAACAGTTGCTCCCTTTTTCGCTTATCCACATCCTTTTTGTGCAAGCAGTCATACCGAATGTTGGTCTGGGAGGATCTAGCCGTGCCATCGTGACTAGCACGCCCAGAAAGCCAAGCAAACAAAAACAACTCGTTGGACAGGAGTATGGTATTATTCCAGATGGAATACCTGAAAGAACAGGCGAGTTTCCCGACTTGCTCATACTCATCTGAATAACACAAGATTTCCCACTCCTTCTCAAACTGATGGTCTGACATGCAGCTGAGAGGCAAAGGATGGGAAGTGAACGCATGGAATCGAAAAAGCACATCAAGTCACTCAAGCCGAAAAACGATCAAGAGTTTATCCTAATCAAATCACAACTGCAGAAACTTTACCATTCCCTCAAGGGACCCACTATCGATAGGGTGTTTCGGCTCAGTGGACTGAACCCGCCCATCGATTTCCTTCTTCCGAAATCAAATCCGAAAAGAAGGGATCCTAAGAGTCGCAAAATCTTTAAGAAAGTGTTTTGGTTTGATAGGCTGAGCTCAGGTGGTAGAGCGCGAACCAAGGACGAGAAGCCATCCCGCAGCCCAACGGTCCCGAGCACTTTCATGGTCGGAGACGGCATTGAATTTAAAAATCTCAAGTCGTACAGTCCGATCGAGGTCCCCCATGAAGACCGAAGCGGTGCGGTCAAAGATAACACCTTCAGTGAATCCTACCCTGCGGACTTGGAATTCTCCGGTAAAGCCATGCGAATTTCACAGGGAGAATACCCGAGAACAAACGTACCCATGCAGGTACCTAGGCAAGACGGATCCCTAATGTCTGGCAAGGAGGAAGGAGTTTCATTGGAAAATGTGAAGATTCAACGTACGGGAACGGCCGAAGTGGGCGGGGATGAATTGAGTTATATAAACGACAAGATCATCAATGAAACAGTCGATATTTGGAATTTCTTGCAAGGAAAGCTTATTGCTTTTTCGAAGGCCCCATCGGATCCCAAAAAAGCCAAGTTCCAGCTTGCGTTTCTGAAATCGTTATTCCAATTGGGAGACTACATCTTCAGATATGGACTATTGCCCCCGGCTTTCATCGAGAGTATTGAAATCTTCAAGCCAAAAACATTATCAGAGATGGTCAAGTTTCATATTGACCTCCTGTTTCTCAAGCATGGACCAAAGTTTTTTGTCGCTAAAGACTCGGTGGTTCCTCAACTAGAATTTTTGACAAATAGCTTGGCTTTGAAGCATTTTCATAGATCTATCAAAGGTACGTTATTTGTAAAAATGGACCAAGTCATTCTTGACCTTCCCGCGTAGCTGCATGAACACCACAAGGGACAAGCTATTTTGATGCAGTTGCTGAACTGATATAAGATATTCTACTCACTAATACCCGTGATCTTTCTTTTCTTGAAAAAAAGCTCTCTCCGCTGAAGATCAGAAGTACCCTGTATACCTCGCCCTGACTACCATCCTGCAGCATATGGAAGAATGTTTCCCGGAGTCGGAATCGAGTCCAGACTTCAGATTGATTGCCCAAGGATTTCGTCTGAGCGAGTTTCTCGAGCAAGCAGATCGTCTTTCCTTGCAACTGCATGAAGCGCCAGGAATTGAACATTTGAACAGGAATGATAATGTTCTAATGTTCGAACTGACAGAAAGTTTTTTCGCCTGTTTTCAACACCCCACACTGACGGTAGCCCAAAGTCGAATACAATTCCAAATGGTCTACTACATGTTGGAGTTTGTTGATCAATATTACAAACCGATGACCGCGGCAATTCTAGCACAGTGGGGATCTTTTTGCCGCATCCAACAAAAGCTCAAATTCATGAATCTTTACCTAAAATTCTTCCGCGATCGAGATCAATATCCCAGCTCTATGTACGAAAATCTGGATATGTCATTCTTAGAAATGCTGGACACTCTGGAAATCTGGATCAAGTATCGCATTAAAGAAATTTTCAATAAAAAGAACTGGTTGGAGATCAGTGGAACGGTCCCCAAAGTAAAATTCAACTTGTGGATGAGTGAAATAAAAAAGCCAAAATTTCCTTTCTTTTCCTGACTGAATACACTTACTTCTCCATCGTTGCCATGCATTCAAAAAATCTTTTTGAAGTAAATTTTTCAAGCTCTCAAATGTGCATAGTCAAAATTTATAACTGATTTTTGCATTTTGTAAGTGTTAACTAATAACCAAATTGAATCAACAATTTGGGATCACTGGGCTATTTTTAGCCTCCATGTGTATCAGCTGCCAGGCTAAAACTAGAGCTGCCAAATCTTGAGTCGATGATTTATACTTGTAAAAATGACAAACATTCTAAAATATTATTTCTTTACTATGGTCTGAAAAAACAACATCAAGATCACTTGATATTGTGTTGAAATCTGGGTCAAATCACACTACTGAATAAGAAGAATGCCTTCATGGCCAGGAAAGGTTTTTTTGAAACCAATGTTCTATTAGCACAAATCACACAAATCCCAAACAAAGCTGTCATCCAGCTTGGCCAAGACAATTTGAAGAAGCTGAAAGAATCTGTTGAATTTTGAGCTATATAAAAAATGTATCAGATATGCAGTGAATGAGAGTAGGCCTCCCAAAGTTCACTCTGATAGAGATGATTATGAAGAGGAAAAAGGAGAGGTAGAAGAAGATGTGACAGACTACAGGAGAGGTAGAAGAAGATGTGACAGACTACAGTATAACAACATGTAAGAAGACACACAACTAACAAGGAGGTTAGGGTTCATGAGAGGTGGATGACTGCAGAATCTTGTTTCTATCATGTAGATTAGGTTTAAATGTTGTACCTAGATTCCTCAGTATACAATTTTTTTCCTCTCTTTTCTCTCTTTCTTCACTCACTCAGTTTCTTCTTCTGTCTCACCTCAATAGGTGAATTGGAGCAGGGTAGTGTAAGTGGTAGAGTAGCCCTGTTTCTACAATCCACTGAGGTTCAGCCCTTGTTCTAAAGATTTGTTCAACTTTGTTGAGCTTTTCTTCTTCTTTTTTTAAATTCTGTACTGATTAATTTCTTCTTTGCTTCAGTTCTCAGTCCTTGCTTCCCACGTCTCTTATATTAAGCTCACTGTGGTCCACTTGCGCTTCTCAGAAGACCCTAGTCTATACCAATTATTCCTTCAAAGAAATGTGCTGGAAGTCCCAACTCTTTGGACATGCCCCTTGGTGTATGAGTTGAGCGACTCCAAGATTTTTTTTAATTACCCACCTTTGTGGCTGGGGGTTCTGGGATCATTTGGAGGTAAAATAGTTCCCAAAAAATCCTGAACTATTGATTTCTGATATTTTTCAAAGGTGATAACATAAGAAAAGTCATTATGATTTTTACTAGAATTGGAAACTTAACAATATTGACTTACACAACCTTTTGAAAGGCATGAGAAGAAAAAGGGAGTAGGTATTTTGAGTCAGGAAAATGAAAACATGGGCCTCTTTATTTCACCCATCCACGTGTTAAACTTTATTTTTGGGGCCTTTCCTCTGATCTCCAACCAGTTGTTGTTCTTGAAAACCCCCGCGACCCAGAAGTCAACCCAACGCTTGAGTTGTGGCAGTGCGCTTGCTGTTGAAAAGTACATATCTGGATTTTCGTACATACTGCTGGGGTATTGATCCCGATTTCGGAAAAATTTCAAGTAACTACCCATGAATTTGAGTTCCTTTTGGAGATCAGAGTAATTATTAGGCCATACTAGTGCTTTCATCATGATTGGTTTGTAGTATTGATCAAGAAACTCCAAAATATAAAATGTCATTTGGAATTGTATTCGAATTTGGACTGCCGTCCGGTCCGGGATTCGAAAATCGTTAACTAGACTTCGTACCAGTTGAGCGATTGGAGCGTTATAAATCGTGTTCATATGTTCAATTTCCGGCGCGTCAAGCAGTGCCGCGGAAAGACTATCGGCTTGCTTGAGAAACTCGGCATGGCGAAATGTTTCGGCGTTTGTGGTGAAGCCTAGAGTCAACTGTGGCCCTGGGAACCATTTTATCATATGGTACCAGATGGTGCTCAGAACGTGGTAGACAAGATGTTTCTCATCTTCAGCAGAGAGGGCTTTTACGAAAGTAGGCATTATTAGTCAGCAAAGTATGTTACATGGAATCAGGGAAAGGAACAAAAAAGGTTGGCCCTTGGAATGTTCGGGCAGCTAGACAGGATTGTCAAAACAGCTTTGTTCCATTCTGATGGGATACACATACCTTTTATGGATCTGTGAAAGTGCTCCACAGCCAAGCCGTTTGTTAAAAATTCTATTTGAGGAACCACCGAGTCTTGTGCGACAAAAAAGTGTGGTCCATACTTGAGAAACAGAAGGTCAATGTGCAACTTGACCATCTCCTGCAGAATTTTAGGCTTGAAGATCTCAATGCTGTCGATAAAAGTTGAAGGTAGTAGTCCATATCTGAAGATGTAGTCTCCCAGTTGAAAAAAGGATTTCAAAAAAGCGAGCTGGAAGGTGCGATTTTTTAGTTTGGCAAACAAATCTTTTTTTGACAAAGAAATAAGCTTTTCTTGTAAGAATTTCCAAATTATGATTGGCTCCTCGATGATCTTGTCTTTTACAATGCCTAACACATCACCGTGTAGCATACCAGTTCTGCTACTTTGAATCTGTAAATTTCCACGTGGAATTCCTTTTCCGTTGGGTAGAAGTAGTGATCTCTGACTAGACGACATGGTGAGTACGATGCTGCAAGTATTTTTGATGGGAAATAGAAGTAGGCGTATTGGAGGACCTCTGTCCACAGGGAAGGATGCAAGGTGAATTTCATGTTGAGCGTAGGAGTTTGGATCCTTAGCATTGAATGTGCTATCTTTGACCGCACCAGCTTGAACATTGTGGGGGACCCCGGACAGACTGTGAGACTCGTCATTCTCAAGTTCATTGGCTCCTCCGACTTTGAGAGTTGGGCTCTGGGGTAGGTGTTCGTCAGTCGTAATTCGCCGTATCGCTGGTCCCAGCACCCTCTCACCTAAAAGAAAAGGCGATACGATGGATAAAAATTCATTATATTTCTTGGTTTGCGATTTGAAGAAAGGGTCCAGCCTCATCAAATGGAACACATTTCCCAGGAATCCACGAATCTTTCCCGTCTTTGATTTGAGAAGAAGGGAATTGATGGGCGGGTTCAGTCCACTCAGCCGAAAAACCCGATCTAGAGTTGGTGTCTTCAGGACGTAATAAATCTGTTGGAGTTGGGATTTGATTAGAGTGAGCTCTTTGTCCTTTTTTGGATTAAGTGAGTTAATCTGATGAAGAGATTTCATGCGCTCATTCCCCATCCTTTGCTTCTCAGCTGCATGAAAACATTGGTTTAAGCAAGATTGGTATAAGCAAGAAAAAGAACATGAGTCAGAAAAACGTCAAGCTCACCTATCCTTTCAGATAATCCGACCGGAATAATACCATACTCCTTAACAGCAAGTTGTTCTGTTGTACTTGGATGTATGGGCTTGCTAATCACAACGACACTGCTAGATCCTCCTAGGTCAACACTAGGTATGACTACTTACCCAACAAGTATGCATATAAGTAAAAGAGTACAAAATATCACGATGCGTAAGGGGAACTCTAGAGGACATGCTTACTCGCCAAATCCTGTGCTGCATGGGTCCCTCTAGAAACGCTCGTTAGCGCAAGTCGAGCGGCGCTTTTTCTTCCGTTCGAAACAACACAGAAAAACAGTATATTTCGGAGCAACACCATCCTGTCCGAGACTGAATGAACGTTTAGTTTTTCGCGCAACAAACACTATCATGAAAGTGAAAAATCAATGCGGTGAAGTCGAAGCTGGGAAAGCCTTCGTCAGGTGGAGTATCGCGAAATCCGCCATAGTCCACAATGCAAACCTGCTTTGAGTTTCATGCACGAATGGTGACAGTACGTAACTAGAGCCTTCTTGAAACAAGCCCACAGTTGATTCGGACAGATTCGGACCCATGTTTGCCTTGAGTTTGGGTTAAGTGCTTCGCTCAAAGGGGTGAGTTTTTTTTGCAAAATTAGTACCTTGACTTTTGCCAAGTTGTTACCCTGTAAACCAAGACTTTCTAAAAATGATGGAATGTCAGACGGAAACACCAGTGGTAAGGAGAAGTGGATGCAACAACTATGATGCTCTAGTATTGAGATTCATAGAAAAAAAAATGGCGCCCCTCCGCCAGCCAGCAACCCGTCGGCAGACACTTTTTCAAAAGTGGGGGTCGACAACATCCCCTCCGAATTCAGGGGGACTTGGTTGAGTTAGATATAATGTAGATCCATCCAAGCTGTTCTGGAAAGATTCTTTGTCTCAAGAATGTTTAACATGTACGCAACTGTTTCCTTTCGTGTATTAACCACAAAGCAGGTTTATGTTGCGGGTTTTCTAATATGTATGTAGGCCGTCTGGTCAAACCTTTTGATCTTGACTTGTCATCCTCAAGTTGGCAACTGCAACTGCACCCAAGCTCTCGAACGAGATGGTGCTCCTACCAAAAAGACTGTTTTTCTGTGTTGTTTTGAACGAAATAGTAGCGGCCGCCCGACTAACATTATCAAGCATTACTGAAGAGGCTCATGCAGCACAGGATGCCCCGAGTGAGTATTCAAAATTCCCCATTCCGCCTGATGCGAGTCCTAAATCGAAAAATTTAACCTTTTACTAATTTGCATCCTTATCGTGTTAGTTATCGTACCGTCAAATGTTGACCTAGGAGGATCTAGCAGTGTCATCGCAATTAGCAAGCCCACAAGACCAGGCGCACAAAAACAACTCGTTGAAAAGGACTATGGTATTATTCCGGACGGATTACCTGAAAGGAAAGGTACGTTTTACGTTCTATGCCCTGATATGCCAATCCTGCTCAAATTGATGGTTTTATCCAGCTGAGAGGGGAAGGATGGGAAACGATCGTGCGGAATCTGCTAAACAGATCAAGTCACTCGAGCCAAAGATCGATGAAAAACTCACTGTAATAAAATCTGAACTAGAACAGCTTCACTATCTTCTTGGGACACCCACTATAGATAGGGTGTTTCGGCTAAGTGGACTGAACCCGCCCATCAATTCCCTTCTTCCCAAATCAAACCCGGAAAGATGGACCCCCCAAATTCGTAAATTCGTCAAGCAACTGTTTCGGTTGGATGGACTGAACTCAATTTTCAAATCGCAAACCAAGAACAAAGAAACTTCATCTGTTCGATCTCCTCTTATCTTGGATGAAAATGTGCGGGGACCAAGAATACCGCAAACTACGAGAAACAGACACCTAATCCCCACTCCAACGGCTTCAAGTGCTGTTGATGTAGTCAAAGAAAACATGAAATTTGAAAATTCGCATTTCCATAGCCCGAGTGAGGTCCTCCATCAGGACCAGGTTGGTGAGGTCGCAGATAGCATCCTCAATGAAAAGAGCGAAGTTTTGAACTCTCCACGTCAAAATCACCTGGGATCCTACGCCGTAAACATGAAATCCTCCAGCGAGCCTCTTCAAATTCCGCATGGGCAAAACTTGCCAACAACCAATTACGCACCCCTGGTGGCTAGTCAAGAAGAATCCCTAGTTCTTCCCAATGCACAAGGAATTCCACTCGGAAAATTGCCGATGCACAGTGGTACAAGCCGCATACTGCACGGGGAGGTGTTGAGTATCATAAGAGATAAGATCAAAAATGAATCAATTACTATTTGGAACTCTTTACAAGAGAAGCTTATTGATATTTCGAAAAAACCTCGCGATGTCAACAAAGTAGATTTTCAGCTTGCTTTCTTGAAATCATTATTCCAGTTGGGAGACCAGATCGTAAGATATGGACTACTGCCCTCAAAGTTCATCGAGAGTATTGAAATCTTCAAGCCTAAAACTCTACTGGAAATGGTCAAGCTTCATATTGACCTCATGTTTCTCAAGCATCGGCCAGATTTTTTCGTCGCCGAAGACTCGGTGGTTCCTGAAATAGAATTTTTGACAAATGGCTTGGCTGTGAAGCACTTCCACAGATCCATTGAAGGTATTCGTTTTCCTCACTTGATACGTATGACTCCGATGAGTTATTTACTCACCACTACTACCGTTTTTTTTTTCTTCTTTGCACGAAAGCGCTCCCTACTGAAGATCAGGCGCATCTTGTCTACCTCCTCCTGAGTACTACCTTGGGCCATATGGCTGAATACTTCCCGGGATCGCAATTGAGCCTACCGTTCAAACTGATCATCGAAGGATTCCGCGAGACCGAGTTTCTTGGGCAAGCGCGTAATTTTTTCTCGGGACTACGTGATGCGCCAGGTATTGAACATCTGCACACGGCAGATTATGTTCTACTCACCGCAACAATAGACAATCTAGTTGCCTTTTTTCGATATCCTTTAACGGATTCAGTTAACAGTCGATTAGAATTCCAAATGGTTTACTATATGTTGGAGTTTTTTGATCAGTTTTACGAACCGATCTTAGCGAGAATACGAGGATCTTGGGGAAATTATCATCTTCTTGATAAGCAGCTCAGATATATGAGGGGTTGTCTGAAGTTTTTCCGGAATCGAGATCAATATCCCAGTTCAATGTACGAGAATCTGGATATGTCCTTCTCAACAATGTTGGCCGACCAGCTTACTCTTTGGATTAACATTCGCCTCGGAGCACCTTTCAATGACAAGAACTTGATGAAGATCCGAGAAAAGGTCCCCAAGCCTAAGGTAAAATTCAACACATGGATGAGTGAAGTAAAACCAAAACCCAAGCTTTCTTTCTTTTCCAGACTGAACATACCTACTTCCTCATCCTTCTAATGATGCCTTTCAAAAATTTTCTGGAGTTAAAAATTACAAGTCCTCAATAAAAGTTGTTATTAATTTGCCAATTTTAATCAAAATTTATGATGGGTTTCTGTGTAATATTAATGTTGAAAAATACTGGAAATCAAGGTTTCTGGGGTTTTTGGGCTCCTTTTCAAGCTTAACATTGAGTGATCCTGGATATCCCCATAAATTTGGGTCAGCCAAAAAAACAAGAACATGATTTTTGAATTAGGTGATATTGCTGGGGATTTGCAATTTTCAGCATATCTCATTCTATCAGGGCATCTGTTTCCTAACAAAAAACATGCGTCCCAGTAACCGCTACAGCAATCCAAACCACACGGTTAACATTTTTTGATATTTTGAATTTATTTCCCACACTTTAAGACATGTTTAAAATGATGATAACAATCGTTCTTCATAAAAGCCAAAGATTGTTCTTGAATATTGCATTTGACGTGTTTTTTTAATTAATTCCTACACACTTAATTATCCTTATTTTATGGAATTTTTCGTTCATTTCCTACACTTTGAAAGGTTTTAAAATTGATGGCTGTATCCATTTTGCATTAAAATAAAATTTGTATACAGTACAAATTATGGGGGGGTGGAATTTCACAACCCTTATTTTACAATGCTTATGCATTGTAAAGGAGGAGGGTTGTAAAATTAAATTACGCTTGGCACAATTCCTAATTTTCCACCCATCCTCCTATTTTTATCTACCTTGTAAATCAACCTTCGGAATATATAGCTTGTCATTTTCTCAAATAGCCCCCGAAAAAGTAAAAGTAATTTCACAAGACACTTTTTCACAATGACATTGCTTGGAAAAGAAAACCCCCGGCAAAAAGCTTATAATGCCCAAAAAGTACAAATTTACAAGGATCCCCTCACAAGGGACCTGATTTTGACTTCACAAGGCTTGTAAAATTCTCATAGTGCCAAGGCATGTGATAATTACACAAGGGAAAAGATTATTTACAATGGAAAAAAGGCAAGCAAAAGATGAGATAAAGGCATGGAGCAAACAGCTACTACAATCTCCTGACCTCCCGTTCAACCCTGCAAAGCTGCTTTGCGGGTGCTTGCTTGACTTCTGGCCTGGAATGGCTTGATTATCTTTGATTTTGGAATGCTATCCTTTTTCTTCTTTGCTTGTTGGTGGGACTGGTGGTTCTTCATCTTCAATTTTGGCAACAGGGCTTGTTTCCGGGGCCTTCATGATTTTCAAACAAACCTTGAACTCCCCGGACGGCTTTCGTTTGAGATCGTTTGGTTGGATGCCGACAGATGTCGTACAGATGGCTCTTGGTGTTTGACCCGGAGCCCTCTCAAGATTAGAAGCAGCCATTGTTGGTGTCTCTTCCATCGTCAGCGTATCTTATATTGTCGGAATCTGATTTGATTTGCCGGAGAGGTTGAGGATCATGCCCAGATGGGCAAACGGAACCAGTCCTTGCGCATCTTTGTTGTCACGGCGGATGCTGGCGATGCTCTCGGCTACAAATTACTCCTTGCTGGAAGTCCCTGTCGGGAGTAAAACACCCAGCTTGTGTGGGGGGCGGTGTGGTGTGCTGTGCCTGTTCCAATGCCAAAAGCATACAGCAGAGGTGTTGGGATAGCATAGTTACATACATATGACAGTCATTACAAGAGTAGGAACAATCATTATGGACATGGTGTGGTATATACGGACAGGAGTGCTAATGAGGAGTAGCATGGGAGAACATATCTCGACCAGGAATGGAACAGAGGACTGATGTGAATACTAGGAGTAGTGTGGGAGAACTTGTCTCAACCAGGAATGGAACGGAGGAGTGGTGTGGGAGAACATGTCTCAACCAGGAATGGAACGGAGGAGCGGAGGTATATACGTGGAGCAGAGTGGGAGAACATGTCTCGACCAGGATTGGAACGGAGGAGCGGTGTGTAACAAGGCTACTTTATGTTTACGTAAGGGTACAGGGTACGGATTGTGGAAAGTGAAGGGAGGAAAAATAATTGAGGGAGAGGCTTTGACCCCCAAATTCTGGGTGGAAGGAGATAACAGGAGGTCTGGCAGGCTGGTACTGCCTATGCAGAATTTTCTGGAAGACAGCTTGGTTGCCTGGCAATGCATGGCATCATGCTGCGCTTGTGTGCTCCCTTGCATGCATATTATGTGACAAGGACTGGAGTTAAGGGTTCCTAGCACAGCATAAGCTGCACTATTTGTTTGGAGGCTGTGCGCAAAGGCTGTGAAGGTGAGATCCCCTGCAGCAATATTCCCTCACAAGGAGTCCCCTGCAGCAGAAATCCCTCACTCTTCAATATAAAAGAAGGGCCTCTCCCCACCAGAAAGTCCCTTCTCCCCATCAACCTACGGAAGTAAGTTCAATCACCCAAGTAGCAGAAGAGTTAGTAAGTTAAGTAGTGAGTTAGTTAGTGATAAGTAGTGAGTGATAGCAGTATTTTAAGCGTGAAACCAACACAGAGTTCGGAATTTGAAGCATATTAGTAGCAGTAGTGATCATATAAGTTGTAGTACATTAACAATTAACCAATAACAAGTAGTAGTAGTATTAGCACCGGAGCTCTAGTTTTTGATTGAAGTGCCTTAGCAAGAAATTGTTCGAGGAAGAGATCATTAACAAACTCTATAACAACAACATATCTGTTTTGTGCTCAAGTCATCAGCACCACAGTATCCATTATTAAACCGAAGTTGTAACAGATTCATTAGTAGATTGATACGTGATCTAGGTCTGATAGAGATTACTTTACAAAAGTAAGATCTATCTTGGAATCAGCCGCACATTATTAAATATTGATTACAAGACTCTTAGTTATTTGTTTAGTACATTTAGAGGGGCAGGTCTTTCAAACCACCCGTAAGTCGTAATAGCCTTTCAACCTATTTGCAATTTATTTCCCCCTCAAGGGATCTTTTGATATACATATACTTTACCGTGTCTATCCGTCCCAGGAGTCCTACAGCGGCTCCAGCAAGTTGGGTATGATCTGGACTGACCAGCCGAGCAATACCCCCATTTGCTCGATCATTGTGCATCCATACACCTGATATCCTGCCGATGTTCTTGAACATCTTGGTCCAGTAATGGGTGCCGTTCCAGAACCCAAGAGAGAAAAGGGTGTAGCCAACCCCGTGGAAATCCCACTTGAAAGGGAAATCCAAACTTGCCATGAATGATTGCTGCGCCGATTCGTCAATGATCAAGGCCGCATGTACCAACATGTATAAGTGTTGGGGTGGCCCCCCGTTATCGACAGATAAGCGAGATTTCTCGATGATTTTGTGAGGATCGGCTTTCTTAACTGACGTGCAGGTCTTGCAGCATAGCCCCAAAACTGATGTAATTCCGTCGGTTGTCCATGTGGTCATCAAGCTTTGAATCAAACTAGTATCATCTGTTTCAGCTTCAAACATGTCCTTCTGTATCCGCATGACTGCTATTTCTCTGCTCCCGCAAGGATGGGGCTGTGCGGTCAAAGGCTGTTCTTGGCATGTTGCCGTGCATACCTCGGTGACCGTAAAGAGCTCTCGAGCAGGATACGGATGTTTTGAATTTGTCGCCTTCCTAGTTGATGGATCGATGAGAAGGTCAATGAAAAGATTGCAAGAGGCAAAGGCCCCTGGCATAAAACTCCCAGGGGATAACTTGTTGGCCGCCGCATGCAAGGAATTTTGACCAATCACCAAGAAAGATCAGATGTGACCGGCTTGCGTCAATTCCCAGGTAATCCGCGAGTTAAAGTGCTTGACAAGTGTTGTGAATATGTCTTATTTGAGGCCATTAGTCCCACGGAGCCAGAGAGGATTGAAAAGCACGTACAGGCTTTCGAGAGCGGCAGCCAACCAGCAGCGGTTTCGCTTGGCTGAGTCCTGGGACACCGAGTAAGATATGTAGGTGGAGAAAGGATCCTTGATGAGGTTTGCCAAATTTTTTGGGCGGCCGCCAACGTTCTTGGGGAGCAAGGTGGCGGTGGTTTCTGGTGCTCAACCATCATTTGGCTCAGCCTTTGGCTTGTTGGCTGGATTTCTTTTAGGTGGTTTCTGCCACCCGATCGAGAGGGCCAGATCGTGTTGGGTCTTGTTCTTTGCACCATACTTGATTGAAACACCCCTCATGACTGCATGCCAGTCATCCTCAAGTGATTTTACAAAAGCAAACAATTCGGCCATGCCAATCATCAGGCATTTCTTGCCTTCACTATTGGAGAGGGTAATCAGGTATTAGTGGTTGGTATCTCAAGATATTATAAAGGAAACAATTAACAAATTTGACACACCTTATCATGTAATAGAGCCTATGCATGCTCTCTTGTGCATTGGTGGTATCTGGAAGGTTGTCTTGATTATTCGCTGATTTGGAGATCATTTCCCGTTTAGATGGAAACAGCATAGCCTCTACATCAACCATCGTCCACCAATCAATCCATCTTTTTGTATTGGGGAAGAGGCATTGCAGTTCATCAATCTTTTGCTCGTGGTTTGGCTATCCCTCCCTCTGTGCTAAGGAAAAATCGACGACCTGCCGTCGCCGAACCAGTGTCTCGCAATCGGATACGGTGAATGAGGGGCAATAGAACTGTTCAAAGAGCGTAGCAAAATGGACTTTGTAGTATTCCGCGCTTAGTCCTCGGATCCACAAGAGCTGAAAGGTATCCAGCGGGCCGTCTGTTCACAGAACATTGATGTTGAGAGTAAGTAGCCAGTCTCAAAAAGCCTGTAGGTGACGTCCGATAGAAGGCCGCCACTGTAAACTTTGTTGTTGTGATTGCGGCGGATCAATTCCTCTCCCATCCACTTTGTTTGGAACATAAAATGCTTGACCCCCGGTTTGAAAGAAGAGGAAATGATGAGGAGCCCCACACTGGCAAGCGAGAGATCCTTTATCAGTGAGTGAAATGAAGAAAAGTGATATTGAATGGACCTTGACTTACTGGTTCCATTGGAACATGTCATGTAGGAATTTGTCGCCTAAGCCAGCAGCCACCTTCTCTGGGTTAATGCCAAGGTCCGTGAGGATACGACACCGATGATATTGCAGGCAATCACTGTTCACAAATGCCTCGTGGATCTTGGTGACACTTTCAAAAGGGTTCAACGGCGCGGTTGGCTTGCCTAACTGAAATAGATGCAATTGAGATAAGTATTGGGGGTAAAAATCCGAGCATGGCAAGAATGTGAGATAACACACTTTGAGCTTGAAGGCCCCAGCAGATGGATTTTTCATTACTTCCCTTTTCAGCTTGAGCTTTGATAAGGGATCCGGCTTCTTTGGGGCTGGCCAAGGATGGTTGTGGGTTCCGTGGTGTCGGAGGATTGCCCATTTAGTCTGTTGATTTTTGTCGAACCAAGTGATAGTGTAAAGTGTTCTTGCATGCCTGGTGTGCCACTTTTCCAGGGCATTTCCTAGCTGCGCCGGGGCACTTGGGATCCCTGAAGGGGTGGGAGGGTGGTCAGTTGTTTGAAAAAGTGAAGGTGAAAAACAAATGAAAACAAAAAAGCCACCAAATTAACAGACATTGCTAAGTAATCAGCTATCACATTTTTGCCGGTTGGTGGTGATCCAACCCACTGGCATCCTGGCTCACTACAGAGCATCGCGCCAAGGCAGAAGATCTGAGTCATTTTCCATGACTTATTGGCTTGCCATTCAACATTGCTGGTCTTCGGGAATCCTACCAATCCGAAGTTTTGGATTGTCATCTCAGGAGTTTTGACAAAGATGGTCCGGCAATTAGGATACAGCGGATATCCTTCGTCGTCAAGGGTACAATCGTGATCAATGAAGGTTTCTTCATTGCCAGTTGATGCAAAGAAGATCTTCTTGCCTTTGATCGGCTCAGAGTCGGTGTCTTTGGGAGAAGTGACCAGTGAGCTCTGTTCCTCATGACTGGCGTCTGACATTGTCATCAATAGAAAGACTGGTTGAAAGGGGATTCAACAGAAAGTCAGCTAGCTGGTAAAGCAATTTTTTGTTTGAAAATAAGGGGGAAAAAATACCGGGAGGGAGGAACAAGTGAAAGCAGAAGGAAGGAGGGAAAAACTCATACCATAGTTGGAATCCAGCGTGACGGAGGCGTTGAGGCTTGTGAAATTCGAATTCGTCCATGTGGCTGTAGAGTATTCCAGGTGAATACAGCCTTGTAAAACATCCCTCGTATCCTGTACACCTCAAATATGCAGTCTGTATATCAAATGTCTAAAATTGTGAGGTGGTGTTACAAGGTATGCAATTTATACAGTGTATATTTACATAAACCCCCTTTATACAGGGATTTTCCAAAGCATGTTTCACCCTGGATTATTTACAAGGGCTGACCAAAGTTAATATGGCATGGAAAAATATGTATATCCTCCTTCATACCGTACAATTCCAAGGCATTGATTTTACAAGGGTTATACCTTGTAAATCAAGGTTTGTAAAATTCACACACCCGACAAATTATGCAAGAAGCAAGGTACACTCTTATATTAAGACTGAAGCTTTTATTTTGAGGCAAAATGAATTCTACCATTAAATTCTACACCCTTTCAAATGTAGGAAATAATCAGCAACTTGCCTGTGAGCTGAGCGGAATCGTTTCAAGTCGTTTGATTTTGATCTGTGAAAACTTATAATCACATTCATCCACACCCTTTTTTAATCATCAAATATTTTCAAAATGCACAAACTGACGAGCTCTGCACTTGAACAAGGTACCGGAACTCTTTACACTTATCACATTTGAAATATTGTCCAAACGTGCGGGGAGATGCCAACATGTATTGGCCCTTTGTGTTTATAAATATACATATATAGAACATTTGTTTATAGATAGTCCAAAAGGAATCAAATGATAGTCAAGAACATTTTCGCGACATAAAATATCTTCTGCTGGAATAAATTAATCTTCTTTATCAAAAAAACATCTGAATTTGATTTAGTGGTTATACATGACCAGCCTGTCCAAGAATAGACTCAAGAGTATATACGAGGCCTCATCAGCATGGGTATCGAGAGGCAGTCGACCTGGTACACCCACATCTAATTCACTTGCGGTGTTGATTCATCAAGAATTGAACCAGCTGTTGTGTTCTCGATGTAGCATTTGGCCTTCGGATGGGATTTGAAAGCAAGTCTTGAAGAGTCCTTGCCATTTCAGAGGGGTTCGTTCAGGGTTATATTGTTCGGTTGATTTTTTGATAGGCGGTCGACGTATCCGCGTAAGGGGACTGGATTACTCTTGACTGTTCTAGAACAAGCCATCTGGAGAGAACAGACCATCGGGGGTATCAGATAAATTAAAGTTTAGGATGGTTTTTTGTGCATTTCTTACAATTCTCACTTACTCCAAAATCTTAGCGACATGCTCTCGTACGATGTTAATGATTTCGGGCTCCATCTTGGTGTGTGAAATCATCTCCGGTAAATTGACTAATACAGCAGATTAGAACAGATCGACAGGTCCTGAAAGCTGACAGTAGTCACGACGACGGGGATATGAGACACCCACCAATCAATCTGAGTAGATGTTCGGCACCATATATCTCGCTGGCTAGTTTACCCTTGAGCTTTTTCCGTATTTCGATGTATTGTTGTCGCTCATTCCGATAAAGTAAACAATATCCCAAGGATTTGTCGAAGTAGACTTTCAGTCCGGCATTGACCTCCTTAATCAAATTCTTGGCTTGCGGGGTGGTTGAATCATCGACAGCGTATCGTTCGTATTCTTCCAATAGGCTCTTGACTGTCGGAGTTCGGGGTAAGCTGACAACCTACAAATATCGATATAATCGAATGTTGCGATCAGTTTTACTTAGCTGGAGTCATTCTTTAGCAAAAATAAAGTACTTGGTTCTGTCGCGTCACAGCTTCCCAGTCGTCGACAAGTTGAATTTTGAGAGGTTCAGGAATGACGATCGTAACAGGCTGTTTCGAAGGGCCTTCCTCCTATTATACAGTGAGAGACGAGGGCCGATTCAGCAAATGTCGAAGAAACGTTAAAAAATACATCTCCTGATAATTGTAGTAACAAAACTCATGAAACCGTCGACTTGCAGGTTCGCAGACACTATCCCGGCTTCTCTTGGTGCCCCTCCCCTCCACTTTTTTCCCCTTATCAGAATTCGTTGTCGGTCGAGGGTCGTTATTTTTAGCATCTTTGGATGTGGACTTGTCTGGGACTTCTTTCACCCTGTGGTTCTCATTCAGACTACGCTCCAATCGCAGATTCTCTTCGGTTAACTTCAGCAATCGGCTCTCGGAAACCCATTCGTCCCATTTCTGTTTCCAGCCCTTGTAATGTATCCAGTACTGGTTCCCTTTGGGTATGTCACGCGCCTCGTCCGAAGCCGCTTCTTTTACTTTGAGTACCTGATGTTTTAGGGGAAAAGAAACCGACAATGAGCATCAATTTCAGTTTACCATCGGTTCATTGAATATTTCGTGTTGTCAATAACTCTCACCCGGGCCTCATATAGCAAAGGACCATGGTAACACAACACTCTTTCGTTTGCTGAAAACTCCATTTTGGGCATGTTTGTCGGCGGGATAATCCTATGCGTCGGTCGGATCTGGGAACCACCAAGTTGCGTTTGAGAAATAATTAGTCTTGTCGGTTGTCCGGCTGCCCCCCGTGGTCTGCATCTCACGCGACCAAGCGGATTTCGGGGACTCAGCCCGGTCCCCGACCCATGGAGGGCTACATACGATCGGGCGGAGCCCCGGAGGGTCCCAGAGGCAGTGATCGGGCTGACCCGTCGTACATACACCAGACCCGTCGGCCCACGTATCTCAATTTGACTGCGTACAAAGCTTTTGTTTCATTTGTGGTACGTGTTCAGATGGATGGCTCCGTAACAATCTGTTTATTTGGGTAGTAAATTGTTCATTCTAGAAACTCTAGAAACCATCTCCCCCAAGAATTAACAAAGAAACAATTGGAAACAACAAGATGAAAATAATTCTTTCTACTAGAGAAGTAAATACCCACATTTATGTAAGATCAGACCGGTATTCATTTATTCTTGTTGGTCATTGCAAGGTTGTCTTTAAGTAAAATTACTATTCTACTATCAATAGTCTACGTCTGTGATAATTCAATATCCATCATGTACTGTTTTCGCTTTCCTCTATCTCCTCCTCAAATCTCCATTGGTCTTCCCCGTCATTGAGCCACCATCGTTTACCGTCGTCCAACACAAAGCCGTGTTCAACCTTGACACTGGCTTTGGCACCATGAGCTATCAAATCGGAAACTTCCTCCGGCGTGGGCCATTCATGTTCGTCATATCCCCTGTCGTCGCACAACACGAATGATTTCAATTGTCTCCAAACCGGATCCCGGTGGTTCATCAGGTTTTTGAGATCTTCCAGGCGAATTTCGACATTATTTTTCAGACTGATGTGTTTGATGTTGGAAGACTCTCGGAATAAATTGAGAAATTCGACTGAATAATCGTTGAAGATATATAGCCTCTGCAGCTGTGGAAGACGAAATAGGAGTTTTCGCTCCGATTCAGGTAGGACGTGGGATAAACCCTCGTCTGGGAAGCTGACCGGAGCGTAGTAAAGGGAAAGCTTAACCAGGCTATTCTTTAGGAGACTGCAAAAGGCATGCAAGGCGCGTAAAGAAACCTTGAAGCAATAATGCAGTGTTAGTTCTTCAAGCGCCCCTTTCCATTCGAGTTTGCTCCAGTCCGAAGTAAAACAATCGGCATAAGCGAATACGATGGCTTTAAGTGATGGTAGTGAAGCCAAATGAACACCAAGTGGCGACACAGAGGGTTGGATGGATTGTGAACACTCGCAGAAATCGCAAATTGGAACGGAGGCCTCAATATAATTCACTCGAATGTAAACCAGATGCACCATTTTTTCAAGTAATTTGACCAAAAACTCCTCGCTGAAGAGAATTCTTGGCTGGTAACTGTAGTTGTCTAGGTGGATGTGGGTTAAACTGGAAAGCTGAGATATCAAGGGCGTGATCATTGTTATCGGGCGCAAATGATCAATGATAAAGTTTCCGAACTCATCCAGTGAGGTCGGTTCAAAGCATATCTCCAACTTGGTCAAGTTAGTGCAAGTTTCCAAGATGTAAACTAATTCTTCTTCAGGGAATTCTTCATCACTGTCAATTGCTTTTGAGTCGCTCGAGTCATCGATTGTTTCTGAATTGCACGCGGCATTTTTCTGGTCTGGAACATCGTCGGGATGGAGTCCCATAACGATTGATTGCACATGTTTTGCTTGACGAGGCAGTATATCATGGATCAGATCTTCAAGCACTGGTCTCCCACAGAAGCGCAGGTTGAGCTCCTACATAAGCACAAGGTCATGAAAAAAAAAATTAGGAAATGACTCCGGAAGACTCGTCGGATTTCAAAGGAAACACCATTGTGTATAAAGTTACAGGCAAGAAAATGCACGAAAAGGAACGTGATATGTAAGGATGAGGGAAACGCACCTTCCAATTGAACGGACTACAAAGCTCATAAAAGCTTCGATCTACCAAGGCAAGTTTGAAGAATTTATGACCCTCCCACTCTCTGTTCTCTGTCACAAGGGCAGTTTGTTCGACGATGAGCCTTTTGATCTCGGCTGGAAGTTGAGACAAAGATTTTTTGGTCAAGTCGAACTGTGATCGGAATTCCATCCTAAGTAATGGGACACTTGTATAATCAACAGATCGAGGATGAGAGCAAGAGCGGTACCTCAAATGAGTTTGTTTGATGGCTGAATAGCTGAAAAGAAGCAAAGTCGGCGGCAAAACTTCAAGTGTGAACTGTCCCCAAAGAAAATGAATTCCTTTGATTCGTAGTGCTTACGGATGGATATGAGGGCGCTTAGATATCGTGCACCAGTCCCGGAAGAATTTCCAGCTACACCACCAGAGCAGTTTAAGCTGCTCCGGGCTATCAACCCGACGTCTACGCTTTGACCGAGGGCGCGGTCAACTTGTCGCGGGTTTGACTCTCCTCGCACCGTTGGGATGACTCTGTGGTCAGGATCCCAACGTGCTGACCGGTTGCGTGACCAACCTGTCAACCCGCCGAGGGTTATTTGCCCATGGGTCATCCCGCCGCCGGCCCGTTGGTCATGGTTGACTGCCCCGTTGGTCCGACGGCTTTCATGCGGCCGGGTTGACTTATCCGTCAGGCTGCCCCCTGTGATGCAGTCGGCGGTGACTTGCCCGTCAGATTGCCGCCTGTTGATCAGTCGGCCGTGACTTGTCCGTCACCCTACCGCCTGTTAATCAGTCGGCCGTGACTTGTCCGTCACCCTACCGCCTGTTAATCAGTCGGCTGTGACTTGTCCGTCACCCTACCGCCTGTTAATCAGTCGGCTGTGACTTGCCTGTCACCCTGCCGCCTGTCATGCAGTCAGAGTTGACTTGCCTGTCTCGGCCATGTTTATGGATATCTTCGAAGTTCCCTTCAGGATGGGATTGGTCAGGATGACCGGTGTGCAACCGACGCGCTGACGTCAAAACTAAAGTTTGAAGATGAATTTTCAACTTTATCAGAGCTAACCTTTTCAGGCAAAAGCTCGAGAAAAGTTGTTCTTGGAACAAAAAAAAAAAAACATTTAAAATGACTTAGAGAAAAAAAAA